CATCCGGAGGCGCCGCACAGCATCACTTTGTCACGGAGACTCGGCAGGTCGATTTTGAGAGTCTTCTTTGTCTCCACCACGATTGCTTAGATTCCTCTTGATACAGAGCAGACCATCGACAAAGCAGAGATATCGGACAGAACACCAGGACTGCGGCTGCTCAACCTGTGCAATAAGGGAAGCATGTCAGAAAGCGCTTTCTTTGTCTGGTCCTCTGGCACCGCCTCTGGAAGCATCACTTCAACTACCGAGCCTGGGAGGTTGCGAAGATCTACGCTGCCAAGTTGGTCGCTGAGGGCGTTCTCAGCGAGTCCGAGGTGGCCGAGCCCTGGGCTCCAGAGGGAGAAGTCGAATGCTCCGAAGAAAGGGCCTTGAAAGGGCATGGAGTTTTGAGCAGGGGGGGGGGAGGGGGTTACAGTGCATTAGAGGGCCGCACACGTTGCATTTACACAAGCAGCCTGGCAACCTGTGGGTGCTCGGTATACAATGCGATCAAGGAGATGCGCACAGCGATCTGGAACGAACTGGATGCTGAGTTCTTGGAGAAAGATCGGTGTCACAGCGGACATTAGTTGGAAAGGTTTCGAACTTTGCAGCTAACGCCGTGAAGTCCGAACCTCTGTGTCAAGGCAAAGGCCTTCCGGAAGGGTTCTCTGCGACTTAGGCACAAGAAAGACGGAATGGACTGGGTGCTCCGGAAGTACCGCGGCCGCATCGACGAGGGCCGGCGGCCGAAGCAGGCCCAAACCGCGAAGCCGTGGGTTGAGACAGGTAGACTCGATAGAGGAGAGCCAACCCCCAAAAGAGAGCCGGCCCCTGCAGGAATGGGCAGGTAAGGTCGGTCTTGCGTGGCCACCGGCTTCTCTTCAGGTGAAGGGCGTGACAGGCGTGCCTTTGGAGACGCTGCACAGAATTGGTTGGGGGCCCTGGCTTTGGCAACTGCTAGACCATAAAGCGCTGTGGAAAAGACGCCCCATCAACTCCTCACAGAACTGTGCTTGCAGCCAAAGCTTAAGCAGCTTGAGGCCATGCCATGACCGGCATCCCGGAGACCGTGACGTCGCACTCCGAGGCCCTCAGAAAGCCCAAAAGCAGACGGGATGCCTCGCTGAGCCTCGCCGTCCCCTCCTCTCCGCCTCTGCATCGCCTGCCAGGTCGAGAAGCTCCTCTCGAAGCGCTTCCCGGCAAGAAAAAGCCGAGCAAGGCAGAAACGCAAAGAGCAGCACCACCGCCCCCTGCGGTTGCATTCCGAGGCCGCGCGATGTTCGCTCCGGGGGGGCGCGTCGACTTCGCGACTGCGGCAGCCCAGCCGCACGCAGCCACACGCAGCGGAGCCGCTGCCCCTTCCACCCGCATCCATCCAAGACTCGGCTTGCTTTTCCCCTCCGTTTTTGCGGGGACGCCGGAGATTGCCAAAGGCGATGAAAACCCAGAAGAGGAGCCTCCTCCGAGGAGCAGCTGGCCTTCTGCTCGATTCTGCTGCACCGCGACATCTGGGCCCGGAGCTGAGAGCAAACACTTAAAGCGAGCTTTCGGTAGCCAGAGCTGACGGTCGCTGCTCCTATAGGCTGGCGACGCCGGGGGCACCGGGAGCTGGGCCGTGGCCCACCACGCCACGCGGCGGCAAAGCGGTGCCCCAGCTCGTGTGTCAGAGTTGGAAAGTATCGTGTCTCACGCGTGGGGTCTTAGGAGAGGCTGCCGAACCGCAACGTCCGCCTGGCGGGCCAGGACTCAAGATAAACCCCGCTGCTCCGAGCTGCGCCGTGTCGAGCTGCCAGCCGTGCTGGGAGGACTGCGTGCGCGGCACCTTCAACCAGCGTCGCGGCTGCACCTCCAGAGTTCCGGTCACAGTCTCGATACTTGGTTTCGGGCTGGAACTTCCAGTTTTTGTCAGCTCGCAAGCAGGCACGTTTAATCCAAAATCAACAAAGGACCCGCCTTTGTTTTGCAGAGCCTCCGTCAGGCGCCACCTCATCGTCCAGGTCTCTTGGAATCCTTTTTCAGTCCGAGCGACAGCGGTGCTTATGACTGGTTGTGAATTCAAGCTTCAGTGCTCCTGAACTCAAAGATCGTGTCTCTGTGCGTGTGCTGGAGTGCTGCAGTGCGTACTTGCATGGCCCGGTATTCACTCTTCACAGAGCGGAAAACAGCCGCAACCTCCCCATGAGCTTCAGAAGGACTCTGTGAGGGGCGCTGGCGTCTCGCTGCTGCCCCAGGCCCTGGCACCAGGAAATCAGGCGGATGGGAAGGGCTTAGGGTCGAAAGGATTGGTCTTTGCCTTTCTTTGCCTTTAGAGGTGGGATGCGCTTTCTTGTCGGCCAGGCTGGTGGCTAGTGTGCCACTTTACATGATATTGAAACTGCATGCGACGGTCTAGAAGTTGCAGTCAGAGAGTCAGAGAGAGAGGGAGACCCAAGCCGAGCCCCTCCCCGGAAAATCGGGGATGGGGTGTGCGCTCTTCCGCGCGGGGTACTGTTCGGGGACTACCTGTGTCCCTTTCCCCCTGTCAAAGCAAAGAGAGACCCAGCAGTCAAGTCTCGACACCATGCCCCCAACAAGCTAGCAAGCAAGTGGTGATTCGTCATGTGGGGCTCTCCTTCTAGACATCCATTCGGAACAAGCTTGGTCCTACGTCGCCGCAGATTATCCAAGCTCGTTGCAGCTTCACGCGTTGCTCCAAAGCAGTCCCATTATTTCGCCACCCGTCCGCTTTGCCAGGCGAACTTCTATGCCTACAACAGCCCCTTGCATCTTGGCTGCGATTCCAATCCTAGGAGTATGTAGTATTAGTATTTGTATTTCCCTCTACAGTGCCGGTATTCTAGAAACAGCTGGTCTCTGATAGAGAGGCCTCAGACCTAGCAGCCCAAAATCCACGCTCAGTGGTCACACGGGAGCTGTAGCGATGCAGGAGCCGATTGCACTTGAGCCTCCCAAACAGTTCATGCCATATATATATATATGTTTACTTGTTCATTTATTTATTCATTTAGCTAGTTAGTTACTTTATTCATTTATATTTATATTCAGAACGGGGGTGTGTCCCAAGAAAGGATCAAGAATGATCTGGATATGATGATGATGACGACGAAGCGGGGGCTCGCGGCCCCACCGCACCGGTATCACATGTATATTTATGTATGTATGCATATATGTCTATATAACAAGAATAGAAATATACATTTACTTATTTATTCTGAATTTTTCTATTTGGTGATGTATTTTTTATATGTAATATATATATATATATTACATACTGATATTGATTGTGGCCAGAAGAAGGGTAGCAGACATCCTCCGAAGCTGGAGCCTTTCAGGAGTGGCTTCAGGAAGGGTCGCATGTATGAAAGTGCGTGCAGCTCCTCACGAGCTGCAGGTCCGAAGCTGCGGCCCTGGCATTCGAGTACGGCCGCTGGGCTCCTCTCAGGAGGTTGAGGGCCAAGAATCGTTTGGTTTCCTGGGCATGCTTTTGTTTAGGCTTGAATCGCTTCAAGCAGTAAGCATGCACTTTCCGGCCAAGGGGGTCGCCACAAAGTTCAGCGACGACACAGTTTGGGGGTTCCTGTCACTGAAGCCCAGGCTATTCTCTGGGTGACGAGGATGCCTTGGTTTGCTGGGAGGCGCTGTTGGGGCCCGGGCGTAGCTTCTGCCTTGCCTTGCGTTCACAGTTCCTCGTTTTCACTTCAAGGGTTGTCCAGATACCGTCCAAATTACAATTCTCAGTTTCTGTGAAAACTGCCGCTTGCTGGTGTTCGCGGCTGGGTGGAGCAAGAGGGTTCCAGTACATCTCGCTTTCACGACGGTGCTGGACGTTTAGGTTTTGCGTCTTTACGTAGATAGGCTGGTGGTTCTGTTCAGAAGCTGTTCAGAAACCTCATGAATCTTAGGGCCCAGTTGCTCCATAAGCTCGGGAAACATGGCCGGCAGCAGGGCACCTTAAGATAGATCCGACGATATCCGACACTTCTGAACGGGTCCCACCAGTTTTGGGCTTATGATGTCCATGTGGGCAACAAGGCACATTTCATCTTCCGTT